AACCAGAAGATATTTGGACTCTTTGACAAGACTCGCCGAGTCCAAGAACAGACTCGCCGAGTCTAAGGCTATCATCAACCTACTCGTCGAGTTGTTCATACAACTCGCCGAGTTTCAGGCCATCTTCATCCAACTCGCCGATTTGTTCTTCCAACTCGTCGAGTCTCGGCTCATCTTCAAGCAACTCGTCGAGTCTACCCATGTGAATCGCCGAGTATCACTGGTCTGAATCCATACAGAAGCGTTCCAGACCATGCAATTGATCCAAAGCATAGATCTAGCCTCCTACCACTCATTCATCACGTAAAGTGGCAAACTTTACGTGAATCCAAAGAGATCTATGCATTTTGCACTTTAAGGCTAAGGTTTGGGACAAGATAGCTTCATCCAACACTCAACACAGGGACATTCCTGCATTCCAACTCTCCTCCATTCCAGATCTGAGGTAGCAACCTCAGATCTAACCTCTAGATTCCAATATCACCCAAGATAAGCTTCCCTCAAACCCCAAAATGAATAAACAAGATAACAACAGCCTAAGAACGAGATATTACCTCAAAAGAACGCCCCAATCTGCAAGGAAACTCAAATCCAAGCAAAGCCCCTTGCTCCACACCTTCAAACTTCCAAACTTTCTTCAACAAATACTTCTCCAAGCCCCAATCCACTTAACAACGGTGTTTCCTCACGAAATCACGGCCTCTGGAACTCAAGGGATGATAAAGGCGCTGAGAAGGAAACATAATGTTCTTTATATAGGGCTCAACCTCGAGAATTAGGGTTTTCTCCACTCAGCACCCACTCGCCGAGTTCACCCATTGACTCGCCGAGTCGGCTATTTAACACGCGACCAAATCGCGACTCTACTCGTCGAGTCCATCCATGGACTCGCCGAGTCACTCTTTCCCAATTTACACTTTTAGTCCTTCAACTCAACTCTTGCTATTTCGGGATGTTACAATTCTCCCCCACTTAAATTAGGCTTCGCCCTCGAAGCCTACAGCAATACAACTCCAAAGATATTCCCACAACGCGCCACCTGGCCTTAACCGGACCAGGTCCCACAAGGCATACCCATCGAAACTCGAAGACACTTTCCCTTCCCTTACGGCGTCTTGACCACTGTCTCTAACCGGGCACCGGCTGTAGCCTCTGATAATCACACTAGATAACCGAAAATTACCCAAGATGCATCACTGCCCCAAATCTCAACAATCACTCGACCCATAAGGGCTAGAAAACCATGAACCATAGGATCCCTGATCCGAATCCCACTCTATCCATTTCAGGACGACTGAGAGACCCATTCTCAATCTCAGAGCAACTTTCACGAGTTCTCCCCTTGCAACCGCATACACATGCTGAACTAGCTGTAACACCCTCAGATTGGGTAAACCTGATACACTGATAATATCCTCAAACATCCCCCCAGGATAAACCACTAATACATACCCCATACCCTAATCATAATCACACTGAGAGTCCAAGACTCTCTCCCTGCATCCCCTCCGAGCCTCTTGGCTCTACACTTGCAGAATTCCCTCCACAGCCTCAGCAGACATCCCAAACCAGATGAGCTTCTATTCCACTGCCGCAAACATGCTGCTCAAAAACCATACTCGAATCAGTCTAATCATAACTCTGCTCTGCCGCTTTCACTTCCATGAAATTTCACTCCCTCTCGGAGTTACACCTCACTCTCTCTTCCTTTACCAAGGAATCCACTCGACCACATTGTCACTCCGACAAGTGCCACGGTGCTTGCCCAACGCTACACCACCCTTTCATAGCGTATCCGCTATCAATCCAACACACATACTTTGACTCTCATCGCAGGGACTCTCAAGCCCATGCACTATCTCAACTCATCAAGATCACTACCCGGGGCCAGACCTTCTAATGCAAACACACTGCGACATACCCAATCCATATCCTCAAACTGATCCAACAATACCTGCAGAGTCTTCAGCATGACTGGACCGTCTTACCAGGCCTTCAGCCCATTCTAGACCGCTTAACTAGCATTCATCATTCCGAGCTATCACCCCCGGAAATCCCCCCATGCATACCGTTCTAGCCCTCTAGGGGGTTCCGAACTCTAATTCCATCATACATACTCGATCCCGGCCTGCTCCCAGGCCTCCACAATCAAATGCCCTCGGCCTGTATCCCACCCCGCATGCCCGACACTCGCTCCTATCAGCCTATACTCTGGGCTGACATAACACTGTTGAATCCCAACAGCTAAGCACTCTAAAATACTCATCGATCACCCAGAGAGTTCTCCAATTCTCCCCCACTTATAGCACTGATTAACAACCCTGTACAAAGAAAACACTTACACGCGGACTGCTTCCCACAAGCATAAACAACCTTAACGAGATCTCTCATCAACACTGATTAACCCGCTCGAAAGAAACTCAAACTGTATCTAACCACTCCTCGGAAAGCCAATGCTACCTGACCTTCAACCCAATGTCGCATCTCCACTAATAACCCTCACGAATGATAACCAACGAAAGCACAAAACACCAAACTATAACCATACCAAACCCTCAGGGAACAACAGATACCAAGATGAAAACCCAAAACACAAATCCATAACCATAACCTCAACCCGCAAAACGACGAATAACGCATCAAAAACCACACAAAGATACCAGCACAAACAATACACCACAATAATCGCAAGATAACATGACATCAAGAAAGGAACATACCTGCAGTTGCATCCGGCACTGCTCTGACCTCCTATGCCGCAAGCTAATAAGCACGACCTTGAGCCCTTGGGGGCTCCGCTCCACCCCGACCTTCTCCTGAAATCCTCAAAGTGGCCGGTGCTGGAGCCTGCACCGATCCCGCGAAAAACTATGGACAGTTGACCCTCATATGTCCAACCTGATGATAATGATAGCAAATTCTCCAATCCCGAATCGGCGCTGACCGCCGACAATCCCTCGCATAGTGCCCTTCCTTTCCGCTCTTGCGGCATGCACCACCGGACCTGCAAACTCCGGTGTGACTCCTCCCACACTTCCCACAAGTGTGGCTGCTCAGATCCCCCACTTTAACATCAACGGTCTTGGACCGGTTCGGCGCCAGCCGCGACTGCACCGGAGCCTGCCTCAGCTCACGCAACTGCAACTCAATCTCTAACTCACACCGCCTAGCGGCCTCCCGCAACTCCAACAATATCCTGCACCCCTGTGCAGACACAAACTGTCTGATATCCCCCCTGAGCATACTCAGATATCGGTACATCTGAGCCTGCTCCGAAGCGAACTCAGGGCAAAACATCGCCCTCTCAGTGAACATCCTGGTGATCTCAGTCACCGACTCCGAATCCTGCTTCAGCTCAAGGAACTCCTGAGCCAATCTCTCCCTCTCATCTTGCGAAACATAGCGAGTGCTGAACATCTCTCTGAACTGATCCCATGAAACCACAGCCCTCCGCTCATCCGAATATGACCTCGTGGTCAATCTCCACCAATTCTTCGCCCCGAGCCTCAACAGGTTCAGAGCACACCTCACCCTCTGATCAGCAGGGCATGAACACATGAAGAAACACCCCTCCACGTCCGATAACCATCTCATAGCAACAATCGGGTTCTGAACTCCATCGAAGGTGGGAGGCTCCGTATTATCGAAGTCCCGATACTGAAAATCCCTATCAGCTCCTCCCCCTGCTGCTGCTACAGCCACTGTAGCCGCCGCGGCAGCCGTCTCCGTGAGAGCCGCATAGCGCTCATCAAATACTCAACCATGGCGGTCTTGATCGACCCAAACAGTTCTGGCAGCTCGGCCCGGAACAATGCAGCAACCTCATCGTGCAGGCTCTCACGAATCCTTGCATCAAACTCGTGCATACTCATCTGACCGATAACCTCGGGCGGTACTGACCCATCCGCAATTCCTCCTCCTGTACCCGATCTTGACCCGGATCCGCTTCCAGCATGCCTCGAAATCTCCATACTCAAAATATACTAGAAAACCTCAGACTATTCCTACTATCCCGGGAACCAACTCTCAACCCAACCCTAGAGGTCATGGTTTCCCTGATACGCGTACGGGTCCTGTGCTTTCAGTAGTACGGGCCCATACTACCTTCCACACCTACCCATATTTGTATGAAGTACTACCACAACACCCTAGAGAAACATGCATAACAACGCTCAACCCTCACCACTAGAGGAACACTGAGAATCTCCCATAAGGAACCCTAGGCTATAGGCATCACAATCAGGCAACATTAACATGAATTCCTGAAGATCCCTAGCCTAACTCTAGCATGATGTTCTATCAAAGCTCAATAAAACAAATGTCATGAATGGTAATTTTGGGTTACTCACTACTAGAAAAACAGCCTTTTACGATGCTCATTGCGCGTCGTAAAAGGCTCAGACGACGCGCAAATGCGCGTCAAGGAAGGCCCTGTTATAAAGAGAGACGACGCGCTTTTGGGCATCGTCTGAGCCTTTTACGACGCTCATTTACAACGCGCGATTACGACGTGCGTTTACGACACGCAATGCGTATCAAGGAAGGCGCTGTCATAAAGGAAGATGACACGCATTCGCGTTTCGTAACCTTACGACGCGCGTGTTAATGACACGCAATGCGTATCAAGAAAGCCCCTGTCAAGAAAGGCCATGTCATAAATGAAGATGACACACATTTTTGCGTATCGTATATTTAAATGTTTAAAAAAAATTATATATTTATTAATTTTTATATTAAATTTGCATTTAATTTCTCATAATAGAAATAAAATACTTTTTTGATAGATTTACTAATTTTCAAATTAAATAACACATTAAAAGTATCATAATACAAAATAAAATATCATAAACAATAAAGATAATTCATTGCACTAAGGACCATGTTAACAAAAGAATATAACATTATATACCATAAGTACCCTCAAGTAATCAATCTCTTACAATGTTACTAAAAATACCCTCAAGTAATCAATGTCTTACAAAGTTAAGAGACTTAGATACTCAGTTGGTATGTAATATGGCACTAAGAAGCCCAAAAATTGTTTGTGTTTTTCCTGTTCCTGGTGGATCCTACATGGACAAAAGGTAAAGAAGCTATTGCATCAAACCAATCAAGAAACAAATATATAGACCTTTTAGTTTATGTTTCTTGTTTACTTAACAAAAACAAGACTTAATCAAGAAAAAAAATATAGACCTGTCCCTAACCTTCTGTGCTGTGGAAAAAGCTAATCCAACCAAACCTCTTATCCTACCAACCTCTTTCTCAACTGCAGCCTTCAACTTAGCATCAACCTGAAACCAAACTCGTTTTATACATTAACCAATTATAAAACACTTCATATTAATATCTGAAAATTTTAACTAATGGCAAAAATAAGAGGTTATTGGAATCGGAATAGGTGATTCCATCTTTGTACTACTTTTGGAATTCACTTCATTTTGCTTTAAGATTCCTGATGTCTGAAACAAATCATAACCACACAATGCAAAAATATAAAAGTCAAAAGTCAAAAAAAGACGAACTTCACATAAAAAAATACCCATAGACTATCATTGCAAAAAAGACGAGCTTCACATAAAAAAAATACCCATAGACTACCTTGATTTAAGAGGAAACAAAAATAAGTGGTTAATAATGTGTGTCCCAACAGAAGCTTCACGGTTTCTATCAGCAAAAAAGTACAGAAAACATGAGAATTTAATCATTTATATATTGAAATTTGTTAAATATGAGGAATGATATAACTTACAGGCAAACGATCCCAAACAAGGTGACCATCATTTGGTTTGAGGTGATAATAAGAGCATCCAAAAGCAACAGCAGCCACACCAATGTAAAAGCATGTCCAACCACAAAGCTCACCTTGTAGACTTAGGCATTTTATACCAGGCAGAATCAGGGGCAGTATAAACCTGAGAAGTGGATGCTACTTTGTTTAATTGTAGTTATCACTATTATATAGGTCATCCATAAAAGTTAAAAGGTACATCATTTGAAAGAGAAAACAAGAAAAAGATAAAAAGTGTTATCTGTTATGGATGAAAAGTGGAAAGAGTAGCTCTTTAAAAAGATTGACAAAATCAAAAAATATATTTCCGTTGACTTGTTAACACAAACCCCTCGCTTTATCAATCTTTTATAAGTATATCATAAATCCAAAAAGTTATCTACGTTGAAACCCAACAAACCAAGTTTCAACAAACATAGCAATGGATATGGAACACCCATGTTAAAATATATACAAGATGAAGGGCATAATCGTCAATCTACCATCGACATATCCCAGGTGCTTCTGTCCTCAACATTGATATCGCCTCTTCATACTCTGAAGCATATACAAACCCCCACAAACTATTTATATTAAATTACAGTTTTGGTCCCTGAGAATCTCTAATTTTCCTGATTTTGGTCCCAAAAAGTTTTCTCTTGCAACTTTAGTCCTTATTTTTTGGTCCCGAACCATTTTTTCAATTTTGGTCCCCAAAAATTCTCTTACAATTTTGGTCCTTTGAAATTCCTTGTAGAGTTTCAGTCCTTGTTCTAAGTAAGATGACCATTTTTGGTCCCTGAGTATTGTTGTCTTTTCAATTTTAGTCCCAACTCATTTTACTTGGAACGAAGAGTAAAAACGTTACAAAAACCTCAAATAAGGATCAAATTTGCAAGAGAATTTTGTAGGACCCAAATTGAACAAAATCAGCCATACTCGAGGACCAAAAATGTAATTTTTGCAAAAATAAGTGAGAGAAAGCACCTCAATTTCCTTCACTTCAAATTCTTGGGTGTGTGACAAACAAGAGTTACCATAAGTTTCTGAGGCCAAACTTGACCCATTCAATCTGGGGAAAAAATATGCAAATTGCCAAATTACCATATTATCCCTCAAAAAGAAAAATAGGAATGATGCAAGTGCAACACTCTTACAAGTCACTATCGAGATACAATGCAAAATGATTTCCCCCACCAAGCGCTAAATACGCAGTTGAACAAAGAGTAAAATACCGATTCACCCCTAATAAATGCACAATTAACATAATAAATCCCAAATAAATATTAAAATTATAAAAGATTTTTTATATATTATCAAGAAAATGCAGTACCTGTGGGGCGATATATAACAGGATGCCCTGGTGTATTTGTAAACACAAATGTATCATTCGATCCCTGTATAGTATTTACTCATCATAGTGAAAAAGGGTAGAAAAGTCTTTTGTCAACATATAGAGAAACAAACTTAATTAAACAATTACAAACCTGGTATCTTTTCTTTGTTGATGGTTTCAAAGGTGCCTCAACTAAACCACCAAACACTGCACCTTTATGATCTCCAACAACCTGAAAATGTTTAATCAAGTTTCAGTTAAAGGGTAAAGTTGACATTTTGCATAGTTACTGAAGACAAGACATTACCAGTAGACTTAACCCAGGGCAAAGATTGCTTCTTCTATATAAGGTTGAAAGAGATATGCCATGCCTCCATGTACTAACATATAAAAAAGATAATGATATATCATGATTCAAGAATAATGTGAAACTGAAAATATGAAGAAGATGAAGTTTTACCTGTATAGTAAGACCCATTTCTTTCCTTGACTGAGAACATGGAGTGCAACATAAAGATCAAAACGTGTATTTTCTGTCATAAGTTGTGAAGGTTCTGACATTTTTGGAAGTTTATTAGAAGGAAAAGATGCAATCACATTTTGTACAGGAACCCCATCATTAGTGTCAAATTGAGAGCTTGTTTCTTTCATGTCATCAATCTTTGATTCAGTGTTTACTTTCCCAGATGCATGAGATCGATACCCACTAAACCTAGCAGCTTGTGAAAGAGCCTTGCTGAGTGACTGTTTGCCCTTAGAGAATAGACCTTTCTTTCCATTGTTTTCTTTTGAAACGTTTGGGGATGATGTGTCATTTCTGTAGCTAGTTACCACTTGGTTGTCGTTCCATTCTGAATATTCAGACTCGTTTTCTGATCTTCCTGGTGATAAGAATGAGTAGAGAAATGCGGTGAAGGAGGAAGTATCTGGCCCATCAACCAAGACTGGAACATCTTCTTCTTGATTACATTGTTGTGTGTTTCTCCTTGGTTCATTACTCACATCGCCCTAACAAAAACGAAGGAATCCCATTACTAAACCCTAATCCTAAAGTATATTAGTTCGTTCACAGAGATTAGATTTCATGAAGATAAACCCTAAGATTAAAAGGTCAAAGAATTGCACAAAAGGTCCTATCAGAAATAGAATTTCAAATCGATGATCAGGAATTGAACTAAACTTGATCGAACTATTTTATTATTGAAAAAAAAAATTAAAGTACTTCAAAGGAACCAAAGAAGAATTTGGGAGAGGGCAAAACAACTTACAGAACGAGGAGAGGAATTCGATGAGGGTTTATCAGATATTGGATTAAGAAGAACGGTGGTAAGATCAGACACAAAATGGGCCGCCTTACTTCTTATTGATGTTGTTGAACGCTGATGTTCTTGTTGCTTTCCCAGTTTCATCCTTTGTTGTTGCTAGGATTGTAGTCAAGAGCTATGTCCGCGGTTTCTTCAGCTATCTGTGTTGAAATTTAGATGAATCCCCATGTTTTCCGGCAACAGATAGAAGGGTGTTGAAGTAGAAGAGGTAGACAATTGGAGCTGGTGGAGTTGGTCGCGATTCGTAAGTTGTAAGGAAGACGAAGAAGTCGGAGGTGGGACCATTGGTAGAGGAAGAATCATCAAGCGTTTCTTTCGTTTTGAAGGAGAAGGTTAGGGGCAGCGGTGCGTGGGATCTGAGTGGGGATAGAGGGATTGGCGTTCCGATCTTGAACCAGTATCTTGAGATGGTGGAATTGTGTGCTTAGGTTTCTAGATGCACTCCAAACTCTTAAAGCTTATCAGGGTTCGATGTTGGTGGTGGCAGCTTAGGGCTTAGAGAGAGAGAGAGAGAGAGAGAGAGTGTGTGTGTGAGAGTACAGAGGTAAAGGAAGACGAGCCGATTCAAAAGGATGTGCTGATTCAAAAGGATTATTAGGGTTCTATTGTAGGATTCTAGTGTGGATTGAGTTTTTAAGGCTCAATGGCGGTGGCAGTGGCAGTGGCGATGGCTTAGGGTTTACAGAGAGAAGGAAGGAGTGAGTGAAAAAGGAGATACTGAGGAGAGAGGGTAGAAGCGGGGTTCTTCAAAATTTTAGAATTTCAGACAATTTCGTTTTCCCCCTTTAAAAACGCGCGTTTAGGCAAAAAAAATATAAAGCGACACATTTAGAGGACACACACTTTATGAAAGGCGCCCTCCGCATTTCTTTTTTTTTTTTTTTTTTTATTTTATTTTCTTACACTAATTTTAGGGCATGCACAAATGCGTGTCCAGTATCCTTCAAATTTTGCAAAATTGACATTATTTTTTAGGGCACACACCAATGCGCGTCCTCTATCAGCAAGTGTCATTGTTTGCACGTCATTAAAGGCTGTTTTTCTAGTAGTGACTTACTAGCTCCGGCTGATCGTACATCCGCGTCCTCCTTTACTTAATTTTAAAAAAATCATTTTATTTCCTCTTTTAAAAACCCTCCTCGATTTGAGACTGGAGTCACACAAGTGTTCTTCCAATTCGCTCAAACCAAGACTCTGATACCAACTTGTAACGACCGAAATTTCGAAACAATTAAAACCTTTCAAAAACAATCCATTTTAATAACGTTGTTACAAAAAGGTTTTCAATACATTATTTAACAGAGTATTTTCCCCAGGTCCATTTCATAAAACACCAACGCGAGGAACGGTATGATCACGCCTTTGCCTTGCCACAGACTCCTGAGAACCTGAAAACATAAAAAAACCACAACTGTAAGCCCGAAAGCTTAGTGAGATACCCCCAAAATACCAACCACATATACCCCCTTCCAGGCCACAACCTTCCGGTCCAAAACATATCGCCTTCCGGCCCATAGCGTAATGCCTTCCGATCCATAACACATTGCCTTCCGTCCCATATCATATCGCCTTCCGGCCCGCAAAATAAAAAGCATACATATCATGACAGAACATAGAACAACCATGTATACCGGGTTACACTCCAGACCAGACAACCATGCGCATAACATGTAATCATATAACAGTTCACAGTTAGCAAATTGATCAACAGATCACATAACATATCATTACCCTAACCAAGATACCAGCCTAGCCGATCACTAGCATAACATCACCCTACGACTCAGCCAACATAATAATTACGCACATACACCTTTCCAAGCCATGACCTTCCGGTCCACATCGCATTGCCTTCCAGCCCACAACATGTAATGCCTTCCGGCCCATAACGTAACGCCTTCCAGCCCATATCCCGCAATATCATACAATAGACAATTACCCGGATTTCCATCCGATAAAAGGGTCGGCCTTGGTGCCTTAAACCCTATAGATATAGTGAGGATAACTCACCTTGAAACTGCCGACTGAACAGATAACTCAAGCTGCTCCGATCACTGATACGATCTCCACCACTGGATAGCCACCAATGCACTGAACTCAAAACCATAAACAACAATTACCAAAGTACCCCTGGAAACCACTGGTTAACCCTTGGTCAGATACTAGGTCAAAGTCAACCCCTGACTGACCCTACTCGCCGAGTCAACCCTATGACTCGCCGAGTTCCCATACTCAAAACTTCACTCAATCCACGACCTAACTCGCCGAGTCCAACAACTCTGAGTCCACTCGCACACAACTCACCGAGTCATCCCTTGACTCGCTGGTTCTCGACTCAACCAGAAGATATTTGGACTCTTTGACAAGTCTCGCTGAGTCCAAGAACAGACTCGCCGAGTCTAAGGCTATCATCAACCTACTCGTCGAGTTGTTCATACAACTCGCCGAGTTTCAGGCCATCTTCATCCAACTCGCCGAGTTGTTCTTCCAACTCGTCGAGTCTCGGCTCATCTTCAAGCAACTCGTCGAGTCCACCCATGTGACTCGCCGAGTATCACCGGTCTGAATCCATACAGAAGCGTTCCAAACCATGCAATTGATCCAAAACATAGATCTAGCCTCCTACCACTCATTCATCACGTAAAGTGGCAAACTTTACGTGAATCGAAAGAGATCTATGCATTTTGCACTTTAGGGCTAAGGTTTGGGACAAGATAGCTTCATTCAACACTCAACACAGGGACTTTCCTGCATTCTAACTCTCCTCCATTCCAGATCTGAGGTAGCAATCTCAGATCTAACCTCTAGATTCCAATATCACCCAAGATAAGCTTCCCTCAAACCCCAAAATGAATAAACAAGATAACAACAGCCTAAGAATGAGATATTACCTCAAAAGAACGCCCCAATCTGCAAGGAAACTCAAATCCAAGCAAAGCCCCTTGCTCCACACCTTCAAACTTCCAAACTTTCTTCAACAAATACTTCTCCAAGCCCCAATCCACTCAACAATGGTGTTTCCTCACGAAATCACGGCCTATGGAACTCAAGGGATGATAAAGGGACTGAGAAGGAAACATAATGTTCTTTATATAGGGCTCAACCCCGAGAATTAGGGTTTTCTCCACAGCGCCCACTCGCCGATTCCACCCATTGACTCGCCGAGTCGGCTATTTAACACACGACCAAATCGCGACTCTACTCGCCGAGTCCATCCATGGACTCGCCGAGTCACTCTTTCCCAATTTACACTTTTAGCCCTTCAACTCAACTCTTGCTATTTCGGGATGTTACAATTTGGATTAGATCTGATCCCAAATCAGCTGGGAAGGAGAACTAAGCATTCCTTATAAGGGGTGTGGATACCTTCCCTAACACAATGTGTTTTAAAGCCGTGAGGGCAGCAGATCCCATAAGAACTCTGTAGTTAAGCGAGCTCAGGCGGGAGTAGTACCAGGATGGGTGACCCCCTGGGAAGTCCTCGTGCCGAATGGCCCAAAGCGGACAATATTGTGATGCGTGCCTGAGGGGGATGTTACAAATGGTATCAGAGCTAGGGCACGGGTCGATGTGTTCGACGGGGACATCGAACCCCAATTTTAAAAGAATTCCCGCCCTATAATGGGGGGGGAAGGGGGGTGAAAGTGGGTTAGATCTGATCCCACATCGGCTAGGAAGGAGAACTAAGCATTCCTTATAATGGGTGTGGATACCTTCCCTAACACAACGTGTTTTAAAGTCGTGAGGGCAGCAGATCCCATAAGAACTCTGTAGTTAAGCGTGCTCAGGCGGGAGTAGTACCAGGATGGGTGACCCCCTGGGAAGTCCTCGTGCCGACTGGCTCAAAGCGGATAATATTGTGGCCAGAGGGGGATGTTACACTGAGAAGTCCAGCCACACATTCCTTTTATAGCCCTCCAAAGAGATTAGGGGTTTTAGATCTGGGCAAGTTACGCCATGCGTAACCTTGGGTACGCCCAACGTACTCGAGGGGGAACGCCTCCAAATGAGGCGTGCGAGTACGCACGGCGTATGCCTTGTACGCCCAGTGTACTCGCCTAACATGATACCCTAAATTAACAACATAACCAAAAAAAAGAAGAATACCTGGATTCGGGCTGTTACAAAATCATTTTATAAACAGACATCAAGTCATCATTTATTTGTATTAAACTTTTCAAAGGTTTTTACAAAACTTCTTTTATACTTTTATATTGTCTAATGCATGCCTAGATATGTATAGTTATATAAGTAATGCTTAAAGGACTTATGACGGCTAACTCGCTTTATTTCCTTTTCCTCATTGGGATGTGGCTTTAGGGCATCGGTTACCCGTCCGAATGTCGTTTAAATATTAGTTATATATCATGTATACATATATAGACATAAAAGTTCCAATAGTCAGTTGAGTACCTTTGGGTAGCAAAGGTACTTTCGGCTATACACGTACATTACTAGTAACTATAATAGGTATAGTTAGGAGATACTACTTACTATTCCAAGTACAAGGAATCACACAAGAGTCAGTTCATTCATGAGTCTATACGAATACACTTACAAGAATACGTTTACATAGATACGCTTACATGAATACACTTACATGAATACGTACATAGATACGCTTACATGAATACACATACATGAATACGTACATAAATTCGCTTACATGAATACGCTTACATGAATACGTTTACATAGATACGCTTACATGAATAGGTTTACATAGATACACTTACATAAATACGCTTACAAGAATACGTTTACATAGATATGCTTACATGAACACGTTTTCATTAATACGTTTAATAGATACTATTACATAGAATCTGTTACAAACGTTTCGGGACTTACCATTCCATACCCAAAGTTGTTAGCTACAGTAGGGAGAATGATCATCGACGGGTGTCTATGGTTGTACTGTTCGGCGAGTTTCCACGCCGTGAATATCCTAGTGCAAAAGGACACATTTTTTGTTATTATATTATTTTCCTTCCTTTACTTGGTGATACATTCACATGAACGATGAGGTAGGATATATTTGATATAGATAAACTATTTTTCCTTATTACCTTTATATTGTGACTCATACACATAAATGACGAGGTAGACCATAACTTTTATAATAATAGTTAAACAGGGGAAAAACCATCACATTTTCAGTGATGCTTACTTACAAAATAGTCGGGTCTTGGTAGAAAACTACTTTCAAAACAGTCAGGTCTTGGTAGAAGAGTACTTTTATACTAGTAGGAAATATAGGATTTTCTAGGGTT